CGGGCCCTGAGGGACAGCCGGGCCCTGAGGGACAGCCGGGCCCTGAGGGATAGCCGGGCCCCGAGGGACAGCCGGGCCCCGAGGGACAGCTGGGCCCCCCGGGAGAGCCGGGCCCTCGGGGACAGCCGGGCCCCCCGGGAGAGCCGGGCCCCGAGGGGGAGCCGGGCCCCCCTGGAGAGCTGGGCCCGTGTTCCACCCGGCCCTGCCTGAGGGCGCTACAAACCGGCTGCAGTAAATACAAGGGAACATCTCAGCCTGCCCCTTGCAAGAACTTTGAATGCTCTCGTTAAGAGCAATCAATGCCTACCAGCTGCTTGTAAGGAAGCAGTGGACCTGAATGTGTTTCACCTGCTCTCTCACAGGTGTCATTTTGCTGGTGCCCATCGGAGCAGGCCAGAGCACTGCCTCTGGGAAGGGCAATTTAACGGAGCATACAATAAAAGTATTATTACCATAGCCCTGAGTTACAAAAGAGAGCTCTGCTACATCTCTGGGAACGCGGGTGTTGGTCACATCCCATCCGCTTCAAATGTCCTTCTAGCATGGGAAATGTGTATGTGCAAATATGGCTCACTGAAAGTTTAAAAATTTTATCCTATCATCTTTCCTCACTTGGAATTATTCCAAAATTTCTCTTGAGGATGAGAAACTAAATATGCTTTCCTTAAGGTCTTTAGAAATTCCTTGCTCTGGTTCTGGTGTAATAAATACCAACTGACATTTGAGTTGACAGTAGTTACAGAGCCTGGGCCACACAGGACAGCAGTATAGCAAGAAGAATTAAAACATCTGTAGGTACTGCTTGTTTGCTGTGAGTAGAAGGAGATCCTGAAAAAGAATTCTATATTTCATCCCAATCATCCTTCAGCATGGCCAATGCCTAAAGATACGTGTGTTTTCCCTTGCCAGCAGCACATCTAGCAGGCACGGTGCCTGCATAGGAGTTTTATAACCAGGATGACAAAAGTCATCTCCCAGACAGGTAGAAAGGGATACAAACTCAATGGCACATGACTGGATTGATCATTCCTGCTCTGCACCTATTTGAAGGTACAATAGCAGAGCACAGCTGGCTAACTCAGTGTAGCAGCATCGCAGCCTCTCTACTGAGTTATAGTTATGAATCTCCTCTAGACAGTACAAAGCAACTTTTCCTTCTGGATAAGATCTATTATTTTTGTCACCTGTTCTATAATAAGACACCTGGACCATCATTATCCCAGACCAACTTTATAGTTTCTTTTGCCTGCCCAAATTGTTTCATCCTAGAACTCACCGATAAGAGCAGTGTTAGAATGAGAAGAGCTGGCTGGGGGGAAATGGAAGAGAAGCTAACTAATTCCCAATGCCTGTACATGCTGCAAGATGAAGCACAGACTTCTGAGTTATAGCACTGGGACGTGGCAAAGCTTTCTGGTCCTTTCTAAACAGCCCGGATTTCACTGAACTGAGGCCAGGCTGTAAAGTATAAGACAGAGAGTGCTTAAAGGACCATTGCAAAACATTTTCTTTGCTTTCCAGGGACTGAGTTCAGCTCTGGACATTTACATACAGTAGTGATTTAGGATTAGATTAAGAAGTACTTCATGCCTGGGATTACACCCAGATTCTGGGAAGTCATTTCAGATCTCTGAGGAGCAGTCATAGCCTAAAGCAGAAAGGCAGCTGTCCTGTGCATGGTGAGGTGCTGAGCGCTGAGCTCTTAACAAGGCACCAGAGAGTAATCTGGTGTCTCTCACCTGAAAAGAGATATGATTTCCCCAGCGGGGAGCCTGGTATTTGTGCTACAGTCAGGTCATAATGTTTGTATCTCTGTTAAAATGGCATATGACTCCCAACACCAGTATCTTTCTGGCCACAGAGGCTAAAGTATTTCTTGTTCATACTTTATGCAGGTTTATTTTTCCTGCAAAGCTTCACTTCTTTATTGTTTCTTATTTAGAAACTCTGAGTTATGTAAATAAAATCACTTTTGCCTTTCCAGGGGCTGGAGCTAAGTTAATGTAGAGCGGTGCCAAGGAGCAAACAGGGTTAGAGCATGTTTTAAATTGCCATTTTCTCACTTGTAATTTATTCTTCCTATCTCTAGCATTCCTCTGCAGAGATATTTATAAAAAACAGGTGTTCCATGCACTGTATATCACAGGTTTATTTAGGATTGTTGTTGAAGATTTACACTGCTCAAAAGAGCAGTCCTAGCAGATAATTCCATTTGCAAGCTTCAACAAAGTGTTCTGGGGAAAGGGCTGTTATCACCGTGTAGAATTTTAATGATGGCAGGGTTTACAGACAACTTCTTTGGCAAACAAGGCTGCAGCAAGATAACTCAGCAAGTTCCTTTGCCAGTGGTGGTTTTGTATTTCTGCTGCTGCCTGTTAAATACACCTTACATCCACCTCCCAGCCCTCTCCAGAAGTTTCAGCACCATGTCTACCCTGCAGTGCTAACCTTCCTAAGCATGAAACACCTCTCACCTAAAAGGGTTGCTGGGCACCTCACAGACTGGCCACTGCTTCTTCTGTTAAAAAATTATTAATATAATATTAAATTATAATATTCATATATTATATTAATGCCTGTACATGCTGCATGTTAATATAATTAATATAATAATTATAATATTAAATTTAATATTAAAAACTTATTGTTTTATAATAATAAATATGTATATATCTTGTTTTATAATAATAAATATTAAATAAATGTGTGGTTTTGTTTTGCCATTACAATGAGGATAATAATAATTTTACTAATAACCTAATATGATTCAATGTGATCATGGGAGAAGCTGGGTTAAGATACTGTTTCCTTTCTGGGAGATTCCTCATTAATTCACATCCTGCTGACCACAAGTTTCACTATTGCAATAAATTAATACTATGTTTTAGTAATCTATTACCAAGTTCATCTCATAGTCCTCACTGACCTGAGAACCTCCCTACACATTTACACCTGCAGGGACATTCCAGAGGGATGCCAGTGATATTCTTGCTATATATTTCATGTAATATATAATTATTATGTGTAATACATTGCACATCATTTGTAATGATAATACAGTGCTATATATTGCTGTTACTCATCTTAGATTCCCTTCCCTACAAACTGCTTTTCTGTGTCACAGCCTTGGTAACCCCTGAGAAGCCTCTGCTTTGGCCACCCCGGGGTCCCAGTGCTGCAGGCCATGCCACTGCTGGGAGGGGAAGAGGGACTCACTGGTTTCTGAAAAAGAGAATTTTTGCTGCTCCTTCTCATGTTGTTCCTTTTCAGAAAACCATCAGATTTTGGTGTTGTCAGTCTGGCATCCCCTCATTAGCACTAGGAAGGCTCATCAGTGTAATTCTGTGTATATTGCACTGCAAACCTTGCAAGATGCCACAGAACTCCCCCGTGATTCTTTTCCTTTCTCTCACTGCTTTTATGTTGTCAGTTAGAACAAAAGGAGTTTCAGTTAATTATCTGTGTATTTGCTGAAACCACTAACCTACATCCCAGCTAGCACAAAACAGTTGCTTGACTGAAGTTCTTGGCAGATTTAAACACCTTCTGGTCGTAAGTTTAAAAACATCTATTTCCAATTTGCATATTCAATTTTTTTCGTATACAAAAGTAAACATTCTACTTCTTTCACTATTCTCCAGTACCTAAGGAAAAGGAGATGGAAAACTAACCTAAACTGTGGAAGACCCAAACTCATCCACAAATTTACCACTTCTATGGGCAGGTTCTTCAATTTCCTCTGCCGCAGTTTTACTTTTGTAAAAGGAAAGCAACAGCATTGTTTCCACCACTTCAGATTGTGAAAATCTCAGCTATTACAGTGACAGGAATGGTGCAGGTGATTAAATAGATAAACTGTACAGTAAGAACAGAACATGGAGGCATTTAAACTGCTTTACTGCTTTGAAAATATATTTATCTCCATGAATATAACTTCCTTTTGGTACCATTCTGTTCGGCTGCACTGTTCCTCACCTGAATCCGTTTCCTCAGCTCACTTCAGTACCCAAAGTATAGTGAGAAGACAGCTCAGAAAACACGATGCCAATGTAGTGCAGCACACAGGATGTGATGGCTCCAAGTAACTTCTTGAGTTGAACCACCACCACCAAACAGCAGATCACAGCCCTGGAGATTCAGGAATCATTTCTTTTGCACGGTAGCACATGACATAGCTGGAACTCAATTAATGTTTCCACTGATTTTTCACAGATCTGTGCCCTTGCATGCAATATCCAGACAGATCACGTGCAAAGTCACAGCCACCTCACTGATGGACACAAACTGAATGTCACCATCTATGCTCCCACCATGCTGTCCTCACCCTTGATGGTAATTAAATGGGATTTTTTTTTTCTCCTCTTGGGGAAAAATTAAACAGCTGTGGGATGTGGAGATTCTATCATGTGTGTGGAGGGAGAGGGTTCAGATGTCTCTCTTCTAGCAGATAATTGCTTAGTTTAATGAGGAAGTTTTGTAGTATTTTTAACCGTTGCTTCTTTGCCTTGTTTAATTATTTGCATATGGCATCATCAAGTTAAAAAGAGTGTACACATTCAGCACTTCTTCTCAGTCTTGTATTAGACATTAATGAAAAGAAGCTGAGGATAGGCTTCTTGCTAATGATGATGGAAAATTACTTTCAAAACCCCAGAGGTGTCTTGCAAGATACACCAATGATATATAAAGGTCCACGGAGGGAAATTCAGCACAAAATATAGTCTAGGCTCTTTTGGACTGTTTCTCCGAGAGATCTCTTTTCCATTTAATTTTGTAGTTATGAGGGAGGATGGCAAAGTGTAAACACAGAAGGTTCCCAGAGATTGCAAGACTGCAATACTCTCAGCAAGTAAGCGAGGCTGATAAACAGCGCAGGCGAGACAGTGAATGCCAGCATGGCATATACAGTAAAGGTTACATGCCTGGAGACCTACAGCAAAAGACAGATTCATGGCTTTTTTTTTAAGTCTTGAGCTAGCGAAAAGTTGAGTGTCTGGAGAGGAGCAACGCTTTATGCATTAGTCATAACATTTTGAAGGGCAGCAAATCCACAGGCAGGAGCCCAAGAAAACAGCTTCTAGTCCTTTACCTCTCCTTCTGCAAGGTGCAGCCTCCAGTTATTCCCAGGCACCTCAGCCAAACAACAAGGAGCCAGTTCAGAGAGGACCACGCTGTAGCTGCACTCTGTGCTGCCCTGTGCTTCAGCATCTCATTTGCAATGTTTTGTATTCTCTGCTGAGGTTAGTTGAGTTTGGCAGTTGTTTGAAGTGTGAGTGGAAGAGCCAGAGTTGATCATTAGGCCTGGCTGGTTCAGACAGTGATGAGCATCATGTGAGTGTGTGATACAAGCCACATTAGGGATCTGTTTGCCCAGCTTCATGTCTTCCTGCAGCTAAACTGGGAAGAGCTGCAGGAGTCCCTCAGCTCAGCTCAGGTGATGCTGCTGACATGGCTCAACCATTTCAATGCAACAGATAGCTCTTCAGTTTGAGGGGTTGTTTATTTTCCTGAACAACAGACTCCTAATTTTTTGAGGGTCTACAGAAAAATAAGCCTGTGGCAATAAGGGTGCTTTTTTTAGGTAATTTTCAGAACAATTTAGATATAGCCCATATGCACACTGAGCTTGAGAATTCCTCCACCACACAGCTGCTGCTCACTGCCTACACTTGCTGTTTGCATTGTCTCCTATGTCCCCTGGGTTATCCCTTTAATGGCTTTGACATTAAACACCTGAACAGTTGCTCAATATACAGAATAGGAAAAAAAAAGGCAAGATGGATAAAAGATAAATGGAGGTGACAAAGAAGGTAGCACTAATGGTTCAAACCAAAATAGCTCTTTTTATATTTGATCAGGTCCTTGAAACACAAGTGCCTCACACCCATTAGCCATAAAGATGTACAGTTTGCTTGTGTTAGTCTCAGTGCTCTCGATTAACTTTGTTTTACTGATGTCCAATATTTTACACACAATTTTGATTTTGTAGTTAGAGTTTAGTTATGTGGGAAGAGGCTCTAAAGTGTTCTTGTCACACTGTGTGTGCTGGAAATGTGTTTAAACCAGAACTAAGGGTTTGAAGAGGTCTCAGGTCCTGCTTGTTTCGTAGTCAACATTTAGCAATAATACAGTCGTGATGCTGCCTTAACAGGGTGCAAAATTCACCTTTAGAAACAATCAATAAAATATACTAATGATTTGGAAGAAAAAGTAATGGACTGGAAGCTGGGAAAAGCCAGAAGAAAATCTGGCTAACATCTCTGTTACACCTGAGTATTTGGGGATCTGATACTGGTCCAGCCACTCTTAGGCACACACAGCAAGACAGTTTTTGGGTAAAGCTGTTGTTTTCCCCGTGGTGCATATATAAACTCTAGTCACTGTTAGCCCTGAAGAGGGCTGCAGAGCTGCAACATTGCTGTCTGGAACTACAGGCGTTCCTCTGCTGGCTTCTGCAGTTTGTTAAATTAAACTTTACAGCAAGATGTGATACCCAGAGCAGCACTGTGAAGTTTTTATTCTAACCTCAGCTTTCTGCTAGTGATCAGCCCACACTAATTGCAAGTGGGGTAGAAATAATGTGCAGCCTGACTTGACTTTAAAAAAGTGTGTTTTCCTCAAATCCTACAGTGTTTTTCCTCTGTCAGAGTCACACAACCATGAAGGGTCATCTGATGAGGCAGCAGAACATAAAAGGTGTAGATTTCAAGCTCTGGATCTTCTCCTCTTGCCAGGATGAGTAGAGGCATCGGTCTGAAAAGAAAGTTAGGAGGCAGAAGTTGCTTTCAGTGAACTTGAGCAAAAAGCAGGCCAGTGACAGGACTTCCTTGGGAAACACACCCCAGTAAAGCTCAGCTGTGTTTACAGCAGCCCACCCCTCTGGTGTGAGCAGAGCCCACTGCCCAAGCACTCACTGCTTGCTCCTCTCGAGACCAAACCATGCTGTCAGTGCAGAATCAGCTCTGTCAGCCGCTCTGAAGAAGGCACAAAATCTGGTGTGAATCCTAATGTAGTCTAGCTAAAAGGAATGGAGTGATGGGCAGGATCTGCATCAAACTAAGGGAAATTTAAGGAAGAATACTTTTTCTTCTTAGAGACCAGACTTCTCTCTCCTGAGAGGTTATGGTGTGCAATTAGTGTGGCAACGTGGTTCAGCTCCAAATTTTTTCTTGGAGGCTGGAGCCCTTAATAGTGTCTTGTATCAATACATTTTGGTGTCCTTAAGAGGGTTTTGTATCACTATATTTACCATGCAACATGTATGTATTATGAAATTATGGCAATATTCACAATATTAGTTTTGGCAATATAGGAGACAGAATTTATCTTTGTCAAGGAAAGCATCCCTTACATCACCAAAAAAAAGGTATCATTTTGTCAAAAAGCCATTTTGCCCAAGAAAATTGACTTGCCCTAATCAAAACCACACTTAATAAAACACAATATAAAATTACAGAGAGGTGACTACACTTCTGTGGGCATCTGAGCATAAAATGATGAAACAAAATTACCTCTCAAATGAAGGATCTCAAGGATAATTTCTGTCACCTACCTACTGCTCTACCCACAGAAGTGAGAAATCACACTAGAGAGCACCTGAGTCAGGTAAAGAAAAATCAGTGGCATTTCATTTTTCTGTTTTACTGATTTCAAGTGTTCAAAATTCTTTAATGACACTCTCCAAAATAATGAGGTTTAAAAATAGTAAATGTCATAAATGCTTTCTGGTTTTTATTCCATAATCAAAGTAATTACAACACTGTTTAAGGTTAAGTGCCTTATTATTAATCTTTCATTACCTGTGATTGAATTAAAGGCCAGCAGCATTCAAACCCGTCCTGCAGGCACTTGCTAGCTGGCTACTACCCCTTTTTTAATATAAGTAGCACAACTCTGTCGTCTCCAGGGACTCTAGCAAAACATTAGCTTTTGTAACATGACTGGAAAGGTACCAAGTTTGGGTTATTTTCAGTCTGTGGGAGTAAGTTCCAGAAAAAGAGCTGGTTGGGGAATTCTCCAGCAGAAGGTTTTTCAGCAAGAAAATGCCCTTTTCGCACAACCAATGTTTTTCTGTGTGGAAAAAGAAAATTTTTAAAAATACATTTTTCCCTGGGAGAATCAAAACAAAGGCTGGCCCAGCTGCTGCCTGCTACACGCTCCCCAGTTCCACTTTGAGCAAAAAATGAGTTTAACAGCTGCTTCCCAGGCAGGCTGCTGGGGGTGAACAGTCCCCAGCTCTCTGCCCTCCTGGCATGTGCCAGCTGCAAAGGGAGAGGAGCAAGATGAAGTGGGGAGGATTGGAGCTCTCCACATTCCCAGTGAACCTTTGCCAGTTCCCAGGCTTGCTGCACAGCTCTCCAACTTGTAGCATCCACACACAATGAAAACTCTACTTCAGGGCCCAAGAAATTAAATTCTTCTGAAAATCCATTTCTACAAAAATGTCACTTTGACATTTTGTCCTGCTTCAGTGCACCTGTTTTCCCTGGGGAGCAGAGTTTCTGTTTTTGAGATGATTCTGCCCACGCACGGCAGGCTCTGGGGTGACCCCCTGCCACCCCTCCTGTGGATGGAACGAGGACACGGTGGCTGAGGGACCCTGGAAGGGCTGTCCCCAAGGTGAGGCTTCTGCAGAGGTGCTGGGCTACCTCAGCAAGCAGTTAACAAACCTACCTTGAAATTAGAGCCGAGATCAGGAGAAAAGCTCATATCACCAGAGCTATGAAATGTTTATTCCAACCACAGCATAGAAGCATGGGTTTAATGGCACTTAAATATATTGGTGTCTTACAGCATCCTAGGACATGAATATATTCATCTCTTTGCTTAGTTGCAGGAAATTGTAGTGATGGATTGACATCATTTTGTAATTGCATGCGATGCACAACCAAAACAGAGCCCAGGCGCTGAGCTGCATTCTAACTAAATGCTCAGTAGTTGTTAATAATGAAAGTTCACCTAGCTTGATATAAGAACTGCATATATAGGATGAAATATTAATTTATTATGCTTCAGTTGAGATTTTTAAGGTAGTCTGATTTTCCTTGAATGCATGTGTTTATCATTATCAGCCTGAACACAACTAGCACTCCTCAGGTTTTCTCGCTGAAAAGAAATTGAGCGTGCAAATACTCTTTCATCATGATCACACTGACTGTGCAGGGTAATTCATAAAAGAGCCAAAAATATATTGAAATTCAATATTATTTTAGTCCAAATCAATATTAATAATTGTTTGTATTTGGAAGTGAAATTTACAGTTGAAAAATGTGCAGAGATCAGCCCATAGTTGCTAACACATCAAATTTTCCTATTAAAGGCACAGTAATTTTACTTCAAAATGTTTCTTATAAAGCAAGAGAAGGCATTGATCTGTGAAAACAGCTATCTATTATTTATATGAACAACATTAGAATAGGTTTTAATTATAAATGAGCTGAAAGGTCAGTAACTATTTTATTTTTAAGGTTTGATTTTAAATTTGGATAGCTTAATAAAAATATTTATGTGGGGCAGCTCCCAGTGGAAAGTGTCCAGAAGGATTAGGCACAAAACTCTATGTACAAGCAAACCCCAATACTATTGGTACCTTTTACAGAACCATTAAATATGAGTGATTACAGTAAAATAATAATAATTGCTTTGATCTTCAGTCATGGAGTCATAGAATCATAGAACTTTTTGGAAGAGACCTTAAAGATCATTTAGTTCCAACCTGATGTCAATCTAGTTCCTTCCAGGTTCTTCTGAGTGTGAATGCATTGATTTCAGTACCAAATGCAGATAATTTGAGTTTGCAGTGATGTCTGAGCCCTGAGCCAGAGCTCCATCAGTGTCAGCCCATAGGAGAGATGGCAGGAGAGATTGCTCAGTGTGGCACAGGGCACACCAAACAGGGAAATATCCCTGGTTTCTATTGGATTTACTGTTTCAGTGTCTGGGCCCAGCTCACCAAGGTGTTTCAGCAGTAGGGCCAGAGCACTGGCACTGGGGGGAGAAATGCCAGAATGCCTTTTTCCCCTCCCCGGGAGGAATCCTCTGTGTCACAAATACACTGACAGATGTTCCATCTGGAGCAGGCACCATTCTGCCTGTCCACATCACTGCAAAAAGAGGGAGGAAAGCACTGAAGATTTTAGGCTGTGTTTATCTTTTTCTCACTGAATGCAGAAGCTGAGAAGGGATGAAGTTACAAACTGATTACAAATCTGATGCCAAGTGCTTGGAGTCAATAGAGTATGTCCATTCCTACAGAGCTTCAATGGAACAACAGGAAGTTTGCTGGTGACATTTAGTGATCTCCAATACTTGCAGCACACGGGTTTGCCCAGCAGCTACTTGTCTTATCTGTTCTTATTACAAATCACACAAAACGTGCTTAAAAATAACTGAATAACAGCAAATCAAATACTAATACTCTCCCACTGTACCAGCATTACAGAAGTGATTTTAAAGATATTTCATGGCTATTCAGGATTCTGGTTACAGTTCATTCTGTTTAAAAGGCTGAGCAGCTGCACTGATACCCATGTGTTTCCTCTGGCTGCTCTAAGTGTGGAGTGTCTGAAATTCAGGTGCAGGTGCTGAAGTTGCAGGTGGGATTCCACCCCTTTCCCAAAGCTGACTTGGGCAAAAGGCAAAGCTTTTGGAAAGAAAAGCAGAGCAAATGTTCACTGCCCTGTGTAAGGAGTGCTCCAGTAGAACACCAGTGAACATTCTCTCACACTGCCTTGCAGCTGCCACTCCACCCCAAATGTTACAGCTCTGCCTCTCTGCAGCCCTTCCAGCTTCCACTCACCATCACACAGAGCCATTTCCCTCCTTAAAGTCATTGAAAAGTTTCCAGATACTTCTCTTCCCTCATACCTGGGAGATCTCTCCGTTTGCAGATCTTCCCCTGGTCCCACAAGGCATGTGAGCAGGAGGGGCTCAGTCTGGGCCAGCCCTTGTGGATGGTGACATGTCACAGCTCTGCCTCTGCACAACCAGCCAGCAACCCCTTCAGCATTCAGTGCAGCTTCCCTTTATATGCTGCAATAACACAATGACTGAATAAAAATAAAAATAAAAATAAAAATAAAAATAAAAATAAAAATAAAAATAAAAATTCTATTTCCTGTTGTTTAGAAATTGCACTTCAAAATAAAATTCAAATATTTGTTTCAGTTTGCTTTATTCTAGGGTAAAAGTTTCATTTGGAATCAAAATATAAAAGGCATTTTAAAGACAAAAAAAAAGACAGCTTCCCAAGTAGATCTAGTTGTAGAATATGTCTTCTCAACTTACTGCTTTTTTTTTAACTGCCCAAATCAAGAACAAGAGAAAATATCTCAGCTCTGATGTACAGGCATAGTCTAAGTGAAAAAGGACCTGGACTAAACTGATCTTTGATTAGGGAGAAAGCAAATTTCAATAAGAAACAAGTTACTCATCATGGCTGGAAGGATTAAGAGTCAGTATTAGCTGAGAACAGTCAGATGTGACCATTACAGAAGGTGCTGGAGTCAATAAAGGGACCCTCTCCACAGCCACAGCAAAATGTGCCATTTCAAGGTTAGGAGCCTATTTTGTTCTTCCTGTAGAAGGACATCACCACAAAGCCACACAGTGTGAGTCAGGAGCTTGTTTTCCTTCTGCTTTTGAAGAAATTTTGGTGTATTTTGTCTCCTCAAGTGCACAATTAAAACCACTCTCACTGGTGACAAAGGTTTTTAATTTCCATGTTACAGGGACCATTTCACCGTTTTCCCTTTTTGGTTTGTTTTTTTTTTTGCTTGCTTATAACTCCCAGACAAAGATTCTCCACTTCAGATGCTTTTACCCTTTAGAAAAAGGAAATACCATTGAGGAATCACAAACCTCCACACTGTACCATGTAGACTGTATTACATAAGTTAGGCCATAATGTTGAGGAAGAGGGCCCCACACATATATAAACATAAAGCCACTCAAAATTTTTGCTATAAAAAAATATTTAAAATCTCATAATAGCAAGAGGTGTGGCATGGAAATAAAACTTTTACCCAGTGGATAGGAACATATTAACTTTTTATACACACACATATATACATATATATTCAGCTGCTCACTTTAAGTTTTGTCATCTTTTCCTCCTTATCATAACACACCTAAAATTGCAAAGAAAAATGAAGTTATAAAGGAAAAATTCAAATTTACATTTTGGAAAGAAGGATGTCTGGGGTAATCACTTGTTTGGTAGCCCTGAAAATCCAGCTTATTCCAGGTGCAGTGTAACTTCTGAAAGAAGGCATTTTCATTTGAAATACCCAAGAAACCTATGGAATAGACAAATGAAGGAAGACAACTGAAGAAGAGTATAATATCACATAGCTGTTATATGACAGTGCAATAATCTAAAAAACCCTTTGAAGATGTGAGAGTCACTTTAAATAGAAGAGAGATTGAGGCAAGTGGAGGATAGGGAAGCATTTCAAACCAGGCTGTAATGAGAACCAAGTGGGCAGCTGAATAACCAGAAATTTTCTGCTGTATTTTACAAGAGTTCAGTGTTCTCCACACAGCACATTTCTGTATGGAATATTGGATGTGGATAACATGTCTATAAACCCTGCTGCCAGGCAGTGCCTGGGAAGGTTGGGCTGCCGTGCAAATTGTGTCCCTTCCCCTCCAGTGTGGAAAAAAGCTGGACAAGTTTGTTACTGACACACTTTACACTGTCACTGTGCAGTTCCTGTGAGATGTTAATTTGAAACACAGTAAAAAAACTTTTTCATTTCAAAGGCAAACTGCTTTTTACATTATGTTTTAGTTTAGGAATAGAATTATAACCCCCTGGAGGATCTTGGAGAGGTGTGTGTTGACTTGCTAAGGCCCTGCTGCAGTACTGAGGAGATTAGTAACACATGATGCCTGCTACAATTTGCACCCAGAAAGATAGGAAAGAAATCTTCTTGACTTTGAAAGGATTATTTTGGTTGTTTACTGAGTGCTGTCCCTTTTGGTCTTAAATTGTAGATGAAAGTGGAAACCAGAAGTGCCTGCTTCCTATTGCAACATGTGAGGGAAGCGAGAGGAGCGGCTTTAGCAGATTTGCCAGGGGTTTTGGAGTGGGGAAAAGGGGTCATACTTTACCAGTCTTGACTTCAGCCACATAAAATAATAATATAGCTTTCTGCAATTATGCTGAAATTCAGGCTTTGGTACATTAAATGGCTTTAATATCCCTTCTATCACTGTGTGGGTCCAAAGGACAACACTGGTATATGTGGGAGAGTAGAACTGGACCCACTAATACCTGACAAAACGAGTTTCCACCAGAGTAAGAGAAAGCCTCTTCCCCCACTTTTTGCACTCTTTTGGGTAAATGGATTGATGTATAGGTGAGAAAAAGACGCTCCTGTAATTTTCAGGAATCTCTTCCTGACAAGAATTCCCCATTTTGCATAATTGGAGAAGGTGCTGAAAGCCAAGAGGGGTAATGACACCAGTGACTGGAGAGTGGAGCTGTTGATGGGCAATAAGTTCTAATTTCTTATAACTTCTAATAATAAGTGCCTGATTTGCTGCCTCACTGCTGGTGTGCACAGGTAGCAGATGGGTCAGCTCAGCATGTGCATTTAGGATCACTGGGCTGCAGGAGAGGCTGTTTAGGCAGCAGGGGGAAGAGATGTCAGCTCCTTGGGCTGGTCCCAAGCTCAGTAGGTCCAATTGACCCGAGTGGTGGTTCCTGCCTCTGCAGGTGGTTCTTGGGAAAGTGAAGAGTGTGAAGTGGCGCTGCACAAAGCCACACAAGGCAGGTGTGTGTTCCCTTCCTGAATTCCAGCTGCTGAACCGCTCTGTGCACCTGGCAGTGCTCAGCAGGTACCCACTGGAGACACCTGGGGCCTGAGGACACCAGGCTGAGCCACCCCTCTCCACTCAAGTATTTCACTTTGGATTTAACAGGATTTCAGAGTTGGAGAAACCCTTAACTTCTCTGCTGATTTCATTGAAATAGGTTTAATTGCTTTTCCAATAGGAAGGGAAAATATGAATCCAGATCTTTTCAGAAGAAAGTTTTGGGGAATATTTCAGGAGCAGGATATTTTGAGCAGCTTCAAATTTAAAGTTAGAATTTCACCGTTCTCCAAAATGCTTCTTTTCTATTATCACACAAAGAAGAACATGATTATGTATGAAGTTGATATAAGCCAGACAAAATGTTTTGATTTGAAATATCATCTGGAAACAAATTTGTCCTTCCCAAATCTCAGGGAAAATCAAAGTTGTTGTTCTATTGATACATGAGCCTGAATATAGTGATAGAAAATACAGCACCCAAAGATGAACATTTGATGAATGGAAGCAGCCACAGCATTAATAGTTTCCTACATCTTTCTATACTAAAGAAGCTGGAGGATTTGGGGCATAATACTTAGGATTCATTTGCATTTCCTATTTCCAAGAAGTGATGACAGATACAGAATAATATGACTTTTAGTATCTCCATGTCTGCTTTTGTAAAACTCCTATAAAAAGTTCATTTTGCTGGTGAATATGGGTAATGTTTATAAATCCAATCTTTGCTTCTATAAATGTTATGACAAGCCTGATCTAGAAGTCAGGGCTAAAACAGACTGGACACTTGAGTGATGGGAAAACTCAATGTCCTTGAAGTCTTTGAAGGCCTTTTGTCTCTCTAAGTGCTTTGAAGCAAGGAAACACATGCTTGGCTTGGCTGCAGAGTGAGAAGTAGCTGTTGTTCACACACCTCCTAGAAACAGCTAATGAATCTAGAAGAGATCACTTCAGTAATAATATTAAATTTTTCCTGTATTCTTGTAGTAATACTATTTCCTTTTTCTTAATTCAGCTATTTGTCCAGTATCACTATCCCAGTCTCTAACTATATTATACAAGTAAAATTATCTTAATAATGCAGAAAGTAAGTGCTTCATTATGTTTCCTTTTCAGGACACCCAAACCAAAACCCAGTAGAAGAAAAAAACCCTCACGTCTCCCAGGTGCCAACAGCTCCCAGTTAAACTTCCCCAGATCAGGAGTGCTGAAATTTAACAAGTAGTTTTTATTGCTGCCAGGCAAATCTTGACTTAGAAAACCATTTCTTCATTAAAAAGGTGCTGGTTCCTGAATCCCAAAAGGCACCTGAGTCCTGCTGAATAAACAGTGGTCCCTTGCTCTGCTCTGAGGCACCAGCCTGCTCCACCTGCAGCAGGAGCAGCTGAAGCTCACACAGCATGAGAAATGAAGTTTACAGTGTAAGTGTGAGCCAAGCATTTACATTCATTCACAGGTGATTTGTAATTGTCCAATTTAGCTTTAAGTAGTTTCGTGATTTGTAAAGAATTTGGGTGTTTTGTTGACTTGCTGATTATATGGCAACAGTATTTAGTGCTGATGCTGGCATTAGTGTGTGTTCCCTGCATTCACTGGCAGCTGCCTTGCAGTGCAGCCTCAGGAAGGGAGAGTATAAAAGTGCCCTGCACCTCTACAGTCGCTGGCACACCTTGATCCTGCCCTTCTCCTGCTTCCACAGAGGAAAACACCCTCTTTTGCTTTCATCTTGGCACAGTGCCTTTCATCTTCAGGCTGATTTCACTGGGCTCTGCAGTGGAGTGACAGCAGACACCAGTGTCACTAAAGGACACAGAATGATTCACACGAACACATCTCGGTGCTGTGACAGGAAAAGAAGTGACTTTATTTTCTGACTCCAGTATTTATAGATTCTCAACAATGAGCAGGGATTGGATAATTAAGTTACCACCTTCCCAATCACACTGGTCATGCAAAACGTCTATCAAAGACATTTCTTAGAAGGAATGTGATAAATAACATATTTACAATTACTTTCCTGGGAAAGTAACTAAAACCATAAAAACAGGATCAGAAGGTTTCATTTTCAGGGTGACACACCAGCACTGATTACAAAGAGGGCCAGGCAGATCTTGGGTTCTGCAGGGTGGCTGCAGGTGAGCAAGCAGAGAGAGAAATGAGCCTTGGACCCTCTGGCCCTCCTGCTCTCTGCAAATGGCCAAGCTCTAGGTAAGCAAATGTTGGCATTGCAGTGTTGGGAAAGCTGCAAACCCTGATATCATGGTTTTCTGAGACAGTCTTAGATATGCTACGCTCATACTGACCTCAGCTGAGGAGAAAAAGGAACAGCTTATCCTGCCACTTTGCTCTGCAAGGTTTTATTTTACTGTCCTTTGATGCATCAGTGTGGTTAGGGAAAGATCCAGTTCTAGCTGGACCAAAGCCTAGCTCCTGAGTTTCTACCTGAGGATTATACCGTGCCCTTAGGTGGAATCTCATCAATGCTGTTGCTCACACTGGCTTGTTAGCAGCAGACAAGGGAGAGAACATCATGTCTGCAGCGCTCATGGATGAACAAATGAGCTCTCAGGCACCACCCTGAGTGCAGCCTGGCTGACCCACCTCAGACCAGGGATCAGAGGTGTTGTTTTTCTTGGGCTGATCCAGTGTTATAACACCAAACTGCTCACAGTGAAAAGTGTTTGGTCATTAGGCCTCCAGGCAGAGGTTTCCAAAAGCAGACCTACGTAGCACCACTTTCAGAGCCACTTTTGTCAGAAGATTTAAATAAATCTTTGCAGGGTCTTTCCAACTGCTTGGGAGCAGGGAGAAATTAGTTCAGCTTCTGTATTTGTAAAGAAAATATTTGCTGCCAGGAAATTTTGCTATAATATTCAAGTATTTTCCACAAACATATTTGGATTATTTTTTTAATCTAAAACTGTACATCTTTTTCCTTGCATTAGTGATCCAACACCCATTCTCCCTACTTGGTGCTAATACCTCCTCAGCTCACAATTCATAGGAGTACTGTGGTGATTGATAAATGTCTTTGAACTGGAAAATGCTGATTGCTAATTGCTGTTTGTGCACACTTGTGCTGCTTTCAAGTGCAGGGCAGTCACATACCACAGTAATGGGAAAGCTTAGGAAAACAGATATTGGTACCTAGGAGTTTTATCCAGCACAGGAATGTAATAAGGAAGAATAAATTAAAAGTTAGATGTCTCAAGTCATTATTGCACATTCTAATGAACCTCTTTCCATCTGTTTAATAGGTTCAGGGCAGCTCAAAATGGAGTTCAGATTGGAAGCTGCTTGCAACCTTATCTGCTTGCACTCTGGGTAATGCTAAGAATTATAAAAATATGTTATTGCCCATTATAAGGGGCACAGTTAAAGTATGTGACTGCAAAGTGCAAGCTGGAGGGTAGGGATTCATCCAAATTCTGCCCCCAGATGCTGGGGCACTGGACGGGTCAGTCCAGAGCTCCCACAGAAAGCATCTGTCACATGCCTGGGGAGGAGGTACTGCCTGATGAAACTCTTAGGTCAAGCTGCACTTAGGTTTTTTGTAGGTTTCTTCCCTCATCCATCTTTAAAATGATGTGATTGGAGTGTAAAGGGTATTTTCAAATGTTTCCTTAATGACGATACTTTGCTCACATTTATCAGTCAGTGCTAACTGCTTTCAGAGTTCCTCTGCTGCTGGAGCTCAGTGCCCAGCCCGGGAGGCTTGGGGAGCACATGCTCAGCATCCATAAAGCAGCCACTGCCATTCCCCAGCTCTGCTCACAGAGGACATGTTAATTAAAGTCAACTGATTGGAAAAATAATTACAGGAGAAGAGGAGGGGGAAAGCTTAGACCCACAATTTAAAGATCTCTGACGTTTGTGTGTTGTTGAGAGGTTGTAATTTTGTTGAGAGGAAAGAGGATCTCTTTCTCCCTGAGACTCCTGTGCTCATTGCTTGCAGAAACACACAATGGCTACAGGCAACAGGCAGCAATATTTCTTTAGTTATGCAAGTACATGTGGCCTTTTATTCTTTCAAATATGTGCTTTCACCTAGCTTTGTTACTGTTGAATCTTGAGGTGTCCTGAAGAGGCTCTAATGTCTTACCTAAGAGGTTTTGTATTCCTGGAAGCAGTTATTCTATGGGATGTGGAATAATGTAAACACTCAAACTGTTAAAAACTGCTATTGTAGCATTTCTTGCACTAATTAAAACCTGGCTAGGGATCTTTGTTGATGCTCCCTCTACTTCAAACAAAAACATTTCAACAAATCAAATCCAGGGAAAATGGTTTCACATTTTAAGCTAATAATAATAATAATAGTTTTAGAAACCCATATTTGCTCAAGGGTATAATTCATTAAAAAAAGCCCTTAGAATTCAGCACCAAGCAAATGTAAACCTCTTGTTATTTGGGGGTGGATGTTTTTCAGGTGATGATTCTGCGTTTCTCACCAGCCCTGTGTCCCAGCAGCTGGGGCCATTCCCAGTGCCCTGGGCTGCAGGACTGGGCTCCAGCTCTCTGCAGCATCCTGGCCTCCCTAAAAAACCTTGGGCAAGGCACCTGCCTTGTGCCTGTTGTGGCTTCCTCCTCCCCATGGGCATGCAGAGAGCATAAATAAGTGACAAAAGGGAAATCCTGTATGCTAGGAAAGAGAATACAATTCTCAGCAAGCTGTGGCTGCACAGATTTACCAAATGATGGTGTGAGTTTGGTGTTGTACCAGCCTGGCCACCCCTGGATCTGGCTGGAAGTGCCCATTCATCCAAACCCCAGCCAGACAAACACCGTGGTGAACCAGAGGGAGGTGGGGTTGTGTTCCCTGTTTGCTCACAGTAGCAGTGCTTGGAACTGGAGCACAGTTGCTTTGAAGGCTAATCTGGCTGCCCTGGTGTTTAGAGTTAGCATTTGGCATTTAAAGGGAAATATATATGTGGTAAATGCAAATGTCCATCCATACTAGATTCACAACGGGCACAGATGGACCTGTATAAGGGCTTGTAACAACCTGGCTTTGCTAGTGCTCAAAAACTCAGCAGTATTTTCTTTTAGTTTTACTTTTAAAGGTGTGAGAAAGTTTTAAGGTGAAAACAAGAATACACAATTACTGTCTGCCGTAATTTGAACAGAGAATAAAGCTGAATTTGCTTATGCATAGAAATTAGTGCTCTGCATTCATTTAAGATACAAACATACCCCAGTGTTGCTGGCCTGGAGCTCTGGCTGCTTTACACATTGAATAAACATAGTTGCCACTAAATGATGTTAATAACCTTATCAGTCTGAGCCACAGAATGGCTTCATGTTTCACATCTCATCTTCTTCTTTGATGCATTTTAGAAATTTAGAATGTCAGTACACTACAGAAAATTGAAAACTGGCTAAGGAAGCCATGAAAAGCTCACAAGTTGCCCCAATACCAAATACTCCAGACACATTAAGAACAAATTTTTAAAGACTTCTCCTGACATAACTGCTTTGAATCATCACCTCTCCACAACCCATCCTTCCTGCAAACTGATGTTATACAGTCCTTCTGTATTTAAAATTCCCTTTGTAAATGAAGACCAGCTTCAGAACCTTTCCTTTACAGCAGTCACATTTGCAGTAAAAAATATGAGGAAAGCCAAGTGATTGCTACCCCTGCAACCTGTTGCAGCTCCAGCTGAGCCCTGGTGTTCAATAATTTGCTGCTAAGAAATCCCATTGCATTTTGGGAACCAATTACACTGCCTGTGCTCTAATGCACCTTTCCTTGTGTTACTGAAAAATGCAGGCTTGGCATAGCTCTGTGGCAGGAGCATTCACTTTAATTAATCATTAAATTATTAATTTAATTTAATTGGTAATAGTTGTTGCTGTTGGACACGAAATGAGTTGCACAGATGCAGCTCGAGGTGTGGTGAAAGAAAGAGACTTTTCTTTTCTTTTCTCAGTATTTATAAGTTTCTGACCATGACCAGGGATTGGATGGTCAGGATAACACCTTCCCAACCACACTGGCAGTGAGAGATGTCCATCACAAGATGTGTATCAGAAAGGATGTACACATATCTATATTTACAGTTACTGTATTGGAAAGTCTTTAGAAACTATGTCAGGGAGCTTGAAAAACTGAGTTTTCAGGGTGGCAATAGTTTTCCTCCCTGGTTCTCATTCCTTCCCTTGGTCACTTCTTAGTACCATCCAAGCACAGATGCTGGTTCCAGGACTTTCCTTGGAAAATCAGTTTTCCTGCAGAGCTGCTTCAATGGGTGACCTGTGGTGGTGGGTTTGAGCCTCTTTGACTCTTTTTCCTCAGAGGTGAAGCAGCAGCTGCCAGTTCTGTGCTTGGCACAAAGCTGCAGCTTCCATGATCATTCACACACATTATCTCCCTTTATGGTTTTCATATTATTTAATCACTGAGAAATAAAAATAAAATGTGACACATACTAAGAAAACTATTGAGAGGGATTTCTCTGGAAATTGTAGTCATGGCATGACTGTTTTTTTTCCCTAAATGCAATTTTTAACCATTTACTGCATTGTCTTTTCTACATGTTAAAAAAAGGACATTAAATTAAAGACAAACTGATGGGACAGAAACAGACTGGATGACTGCAATTAACTGTACAAAACAAATAGAGAAAAATAGTTTTTGGTCTAAATGAGAGCTTAAATCTACTAATCTGCACTGGAAAAATGAATACCCTCTGTGCTAAGTTTTAGGGGTTTGGTTTTTTACTTCTTGCAGACATATTACAGCAGACTTCCAGATGAGAGGACGAAGACTATGAGTGAAGAGTGCCCTGGAGATCTCCTGCAGTTCTTTTCCTGGCTCAGAACTGGATTGATCTGAGAAGAGTAATTATGAGGCTGACATGTATGTTCTCCTTCATCTTGCTGTTTGGAGCAGTTGGGCTCGTTGTTTTCATTCACCTGCAGGATCCAGAAGAAATAGTTCATCAGCAGACACCAGGTTAGCATTCCTGTTTCAGTTTGAATCACCTTTCATGGTCAGTAGGTTGTACTTACGTTCTCAACATGTTTTACATATTTCACAGAGGATACCTCAAAAAACAGGTATGTCATTCTTAATGAAGGCTACCTTGAAAGTAATTATCAATTTCTTATTTTTTAAAAAAAAAAAAGCATTTGCTGATAAAACAGTTCCAAGAACCAATTAATTGTTTATACAGGGCCAACACGCACAGGGTCCAGCTGGGTGGAGTTAAGTTTCTGCTAAAGTTGAGACCTAAACTTTTGCTACCAACTATATCACTATAAATGTGAAAATGAGAGATTTCATCAGAAGTTCTGTTCCTGGAAATGCACACCTCTGAATTTACCTTTACTTTGCATGTGGTATTCAGTGTGTCATGAGATGCAAAATAAAAGATGTATGAATGAGTCACATCAGAAACTTTAAATACTTTAGAGTGGATTCACCTAATTTGCTTAACTTCAATTAAACCTTTCATAACTATTATTCATGTGCATGCCATTTTCCTGCACTACTAACTTGAAGCTGTGAAGAGCCACAAAGGCCACAGAGATGGGAGAACTAGAAAATTATGGGCTGAAATAGTAGTTTCCTTTAAAGGGAGGCACAAAAGAAATATGAAAAGACACAAGATCTCTTGATTTACTTACATTCCTTTTCTCTTTGACTATGGCTGTAATGAAGGCTGCTTTAGAGCCTAGACAAATGCCAGTGCAGTTATTCTTGTTCAGGATAATGCCACTGTGTTCTGGGGTTTGGTCCCTTTGTTTGCTCTTATATGCACTGAAATTGTCCTTTGACTAAACAAATGCTCCATAAAAACTTTATTCATTTGACATCTTCATTGTACAGTGAACACAACTGTGTCTATTTAAAATCATTGCTAACACATTTAAAGGAGCTGAACTGTAACACAGAGAACTCTTAAATAATTGCATTAATTGCTAATTTCTGTGTCTAGGTTTGTTAAGTGCTTGTTTCCGTGTCACTAAACAGTCTGTACTTTAATATGTTGTTTATTTAGTCCAACTGCACACACACCAATTTTGAAAGCAGCCACTCAGCTGAAACTATAGAAGTAATGAATCTTCAGTGTTGTGCAAAGCAGGGAATTAACTAGCTCCTTCAGTGCTTTTGCAATTTATTTTTGTATGCTTAGATGCAAAAGAGTTTATAGATTAAAAACAGAGGTACTGGCCATATTTGACTGAAACTGGCCTGTAGTTTAGGCACAGGGGAAAGATGTATGGACAGTGAATGTAGGCAGTACTCTAATGCATCTAAGAATGTGTAACTTTACATTGAAAAGTTCATTTTTTGCTCCTGAAAGAGAAGGTTTCCTAGTGTGGTCTCAAAACAAGTTCAATTTCTTTTCAATTTTTTCATTGTTGGTTCCCATCTCGCCCTGTTCTCTGCCATAAATCTTTTGAATGCTGATTGTAGTACAGTGGGAAGTGATTTTGGAGAGCAGTGGAACTGGAGAAGGGGACACCCAAGCATATTTAAATAAAAGCAAGTTTGAACAGAGCTCCTACCCCTGGCAGGGAAACTCTCTGTAAGTACCTAAAACACAAACATGCCAACGATGCTGTTACTGCCAAAGGTGTGTGATCAATTCCTCAATTCTCACATTCAATTACTATTTATGTTAATAGGAACCAGACTGTACCCTTGAGTAAAAGGTGCTCAGTACAATTACTTTTATTTCTGTTTGGCTGATTTTCATGTGTGTTAAGTGCTTTCAACTCCCGGTGGACTGAGAAACTCCTCATATCCACTGCTTTTGAAAATGATACCAGTTATCACTTAAAACATGTTAGGTGACTTAAAGAACACAGGAAAAAATATCCATTCATTTCATTTATAAAGACATGTTGGCATATTTCCTTCCTAGACAGTCTCCTGTACAAATCTGTCAATCACAGGTGACATTTTTAGTGTGCTGAGAAGGATCCTTCCCTCTCTCTGCTCAGAGTGTTTCTCCGTAAAGGGGCCCAGTTCTAATGGAGATGGGATACTGCTATAATTTGCTTACCTGATTGCTCTCTCCAGAGAATTGAACAAATGCATGTATCATTAAGCTACTTAGGAAAACAGATTCTGCATGGAGAATACTGTACTGGCCTTTGCTTTTGTATTTCCTGTGTAGTAAAACACATCTGCCAGACGCTGGAATCTCATCAGCAGGGCTGGAGAGAAGTTGGTAACACTCATTTTCCACTGAAAAGCAACATAGGAGGAGCCTTTGCATTGTCCAAAAGGACATTTTTCATTGTTAGCGTGTTCAGTCATCTTTAATTAAGGGTAGAACAACTTATGAAACAAGTTTAATAAAAATACTTTGGTACTTCAGTTTTATCTGTCTGTTTTGGAAATTGTTCTTGATTGTTTTAGTCCTAGCAAGCATGACAGTGAGACCTTGATATACTACTTAAACCAGTATAAAATCCACAGTCATAAAACTTTAAGTAATGCTTACATTACTTTCACTGAGCAAAGTACTCCTGACAGTAGCTGTTTGTGTTGATTTGTTACTATTCATTTATTCTTTCCCTGTGCTTCACATTGCTACCTAATTGTGATGCTGTACTGAGAAAGCAATATCAAAGTAATTTTCCACAACATTAGTTACAATTTTCTTCTGATCTTTCAAGTGAAAAAATTCCATCCTGTTGGCTTCTGTGAGCATATAAACCTTGATTACATTTATCTGTTGGAAACCAGCTCTTACGAAGGACACGTGCCCCGGATAGCGGCTGTAGGGCCTTTTTTGTTGATTGACAAACATGCTCTCTGTGTAGTTTTATTTATATAACACACATCACTCTGAGCAGATATATTTAAGACAGACAGCCATTTGGGGTGGGCAGATTATAAATCTATTGGGGAAATAGATTTCCCATAGCAATATATTAAATACATTAGATATTCCTGTGGTCATTAAAGAGACAATAACTTCACTTAGGACACTTGTTTTCTTGGTATGTATGAAGGGTGCTCTTACTAGGGATAAAAACTGAGAAGTGGTATGAGAAATAGTTATACCCCATAGAGGAACACAATTTTATTGTAATAATTCTCCCTGCATAATTATATAAGTACCCCCTGTCAGAGCACAAATGCAGGGGTGGATGGAAAGCAGGTGAAGGATTTGGGGATTTGGTGGCTGAGGAGCTCAGCATGCCCTGCATGTGTGCAGTGGCTGCCCAGAGAGCCAGCCCTGTGCTGGGCTGGACATCAGTGCTGGCTGTCAAGGAAGGTGATTCTGCCCCTCTGCCCCACCCAGCTGAGACCCCACCTGCACAGGAAGGAGCTGGAGCTGCTGGGGAAAGTCCAGAGGAGCCACAGAGAGGCTCCAAGGGCTGGAGCCCCTCTGGAGCCAGGCTGGGAGAGCTGGGGGTGCTCACCTGGAGAGGAGAAGGCTCCAGGAAGAGCTCAGAACCCCTTCCAGAGCCAAAAGCAGCTCCAAGAGAGCTGCAGAGGGACTGGGGACAAGGACCTGGGACAAAAGGGCAAGAAGGAATGGCCTCAAACTGAAAGAAGGTGGGCTTGGATCAGATGCAAGGAAGAAGTTCTTCCCTGTGAGGCACTGGCACAGGTTGCTCAGAGAATCTGTGGATGCTCTGTCCCTGGAAGTATTCAAGGACAGAATGGATGAGGCTTTGAACAAACCTGAACCAGTGAAAGGTGTCCCTGGCCCAGGGCAGTGGAGTTGGAACTGGATTATCTATCTTCAAGGTTCCCTTCCACCCCAAACCATTTTCCAACTCTATGATCTCATGATATAAAATCTTGCCTTCTGCAATAATCATAAAATAATTTAAAAAAAAAAAAAATCATACCATAATTCTTAAACACACTAAAGGATTTGTTCTAAGCCAAACACATTTGCACATGGTGCACAAGAAAAAATTAATACATGTATCCCCACCCTAATGCTAATGCATAATTCTCCTGTCTGTGGCAAGATACTGAACATGAAAAAAACCACTTTACAGTAACAAAATATTTAGCCTTGGTCCTAGAACTGATGCCAGTTTGGGTTTTGCCTTTTTTTCTATGTTCTCTGTATTCTTTAGCCATATATTTGCAGCTCTGTAGCCTATTGTGTTAGTAGTTAGTTTTCCCAGTACTTTTCCATGGCCTTTCCCTAAGCAGAAAGACAAAACAAATTGCAGAGCTCCAAGCCCCAGGGCTGTCTTGGCTCTTCCTGGGAACCAAGGCTGGGAACAATCTCTGAGATACATCCCATGGACAAAGTGCAGCCAGTGCTGGGGGAGGGACTCCAGAGAAGGGGCTTGACCTGGGGGGAAATTGAAATTAGGAGGACCACTTGTCCTCCTAATTGGTGCTATTTATCAATTATGCTAATTTCCTAAAACCTATGAATATGTACTCATCCCTGTGGGGGTGGGATTTTGTGGACATCTTTCCCTAACTGCTCCTGAAGGCCTTCAAATAAAGATCCTGTTTTATATTACCTCCTTACTAAAATGATCTCAAGCTTCATTTCCAGGTTGGGAAAAAGGCAGCAGAACCACAAAAGAGAGGGTTCCTGTCCAGCCTGTGGTGTCCCCTCTGTGTCAGGGGGTGCAGTGGGAGTCAGCAGGGCTAAGGAGCCCTTCCAGCCTTGGCCACAGCCACAGCAGCTCGGGAGAGCCCTGAGAACAGGCAAAGGACACAGCAAGATCCCAGGTGGATTTCAAACACCACAGAAACTTCTGAGCCACACACCAGGGGCTGGAGGCAGGACTGGTGCTCAGGTGGGGTCCTGAGCTCCATCACTGCTTCCATGTGGCACCAGGGACACAATAAATGGCTGTATAGAATCCCTGTGTGCTCTGTGTGCTCTACAGGCTGTGGTCAGAAGAGATGGGGTGTTTTAAAATGGCACTGACTTTTCTAATATGAGATTTTTCCACATAAAATCTAGAGAAAGTATTGGTAATCTTCTACAGAAGCCTGTGGGGGGGAAAAAATTATTTGTTTTTGCCATATGGTTACTGAATTCACAAATCTGTAAGAGTTTTCAGTTAGAACTTTTAAGATGAATATATATGGTCACATGCTCCTTTGGGAGCTGAAAAAAGGTGGAAAATACATCTCAAAAGATCCATATTGTAAAAGCTCCTAGAGGGTGAAAACACTGAATGGCTTTGCACTCTGTATCAGAATTTGAAAGACAAATATGAATATAACCAAGCCTGAAACTCATCTGACTGAGATTTTGCAGTGATTGCCATCTTGCCTCATTGACCAGTTTCTAACATTATTGTGTCATCCTCTTTACTTTCTGCTTTCCTGAGGGTGTGATGGGGAGGAGAGGGAGGAAGGAGAGGCAGGAGGAAGGGCTGGCACAGGGATGCTGCTGTCCCTGACAGCACAAGGGAGATGCAGCAAATATTGCAGCAGCCTTGAGGAAATACCAGTGCTACAGCTCCACTGAAAGTTCCTTATTCAGAGCACACACACCTTGTTACTCACAAACTACACTCTTATGCACATTTCCATGCTCATTGTACGTTTCCATAATGCTGTCCCAGTGCACTGTTTGCCAGAATGGAAACTTTCTATAAATACAGTTGAAAATGAACTAGCATTGTAGAATTTTGGAAGTCATTTTCCTGCCATTTACAACTTACTGCTCTTTATAAGCTAGAAGCCATTTAATCTGCTTCTCTACTGCCAGTATCAGCAGAAATGATGAGCAGAGAATCTGGTGACTGTGTCAGAGGTGAGGTGGCTTGCTGGTGCTCTTTTGAGGCAGAAGAAACATCTGTTATTTGTGAGAGGGTAATTCTGCCAACCCAAGAGTGGCTGAACCTTCTGCAGTCACATTCTCTGAGTCTTCTTAAACTGGAGTTCCCCAAAGAACTTCCCTGCAGGCTGCTTCACAATGCTCTGCAGTTATTGGGATGAAAAGAGAAATATCTATTTCCTTGCCTGCCAAGGCAAGGCACTTAGTAGGGTCTTATAATTATGATATTCCCTTTTCTGCTGCTTGAAATGGTTGTGGTTTGGACTGTGAATGTGAACCTGGTTGTTTTTCACATTGGAAAGAAGTGCTAGCAATGACTTCATCAGCCTACTGCTCGAAGGGATCAAACACTGGCCAGATGGTTTCAAAGGAAACCCTGCACCCCACTGCCAGTGCAAATCTGTTCAAAAGAAATGTGGTCTAGTGTAGAAAGCAATTATGAATAAGCTGTTTCATCACCAGTGTACTACACAGAGATTGTATTCTACAACCTTCTCCCTGCTTTCATGACTATGACATATTCTTGTCAGTCTTATAAAAAATGCAGCATTTATTTATTATATGATATTGAGAAGGCACTGCTTTTTTTCCCCTTTTTTTTCTTTTTTTCTCCTTTTCTTTCTTTTTTTTTTTCTTTTTTTCATTTCTTTTAACATTCTTGAGCCTAAAGTCTAGTAAAGCAATTACAGCTCTTATGCTATAGCATGTCAGACCAGCATTTATTTGACCAGAATTTCCTGTCAACCATCAGCAAGTTTTCCACAGGAGTGACAGCTCTGAGGTGTTCAGGCTGTGGAGCTGGGATTCAAAGCTGCTGTGATTTGTTCCTGTCTTGCCCTACTGCTCACAGATTGTGCACTATTGTGTTAGATCAGGCAATTCACCCATTCACTGTTTCCATTTCCTCTTATAAAGGGAATTCTCTGCAGAGGATTCGAGG